AGAGGTTAACTGGTGATACAGAGGGAATGACATTCACCTTCTTTACAGAGCACTTTAGAACCCATCATGCAGGAGTATCTCATTTTAAGATTTCTGAGTACTAAGAAGGTTGTTGCAGTTTTTGCCTATATGTATTTGACCCCTTTCCTCCCCACCACTCAGTCCCCTAAAGGGGGAAGCAGTATTATATATACATATAACATTGATTGGTCTACAGCCATTAATCATTGATTGGTCTACAGCCATTAATCAGCTTCCTCAAAGTTTGTATTGAAATCAAAACAGCAGTTTTTGAAAAGAAGTTGAAAATGTGACTTGCCCTCGAGCCAGCTGAACTAAAAAATATAGATGACAAAGATAACAAACAACAGATCAAAGGGTTTATTTGTGACTGGTGCCAGGTAGACATAATACTGGGGAGTACACAAACATCTGGTGTGACAGCAGAAAAGGGTCATTCCTATGAGATTGGTGATGGAATATACAATGTAGCCATTATAAAGCTAAACATCAATCTTAATTTCAATCAAGATAAATCTGTCCAAAGGACACAAATTTTTAATATTTAATATTACAACAAACACTTATCAACAAAAGTAAATATATTTCCAGATTGACATCAATACACCATCAAATAACATCGTAATATATACTATTACATATTGTTATATACTTTATGAAAATAAAAGTGTTTTAAGACAGAAAATACATCAGCTCTCTCCCCCCCCCCCCCCCCCCCCCCCCCCCTCTCTCTCTCTCTATACATCATATCTCATATGGCCTTGTTTGTAGGACTTCTAAATCTCAGCACTGATCATCCCATTCACAAACCATAACATGATGTATCCTGGCTACGAGGAATGCATATACAGGAATGATTAACTTTTTTCACAACCTGGAAATACAATTGTACAAACATAAACTTTGAACACCTATTTGCATTAATGCACAAAGTTTATAAGAAAATGGTATAATTTTTAGATTTTTTTTTATTATAGATACAAGTTCTACATTTTAAAAAATAAAATCTTTCTGTATCATATATAACTGAAACAAGAAATTAACAATTTAACATATCACTGGAATAAGTTATTAAAAGGTATTTTCACACATGAAGACATTTTGAGGTTATTTTTTTTAAAAAGGACAACAGAATGATCCTAATGGGAATTGATATGGAAGGAATCAAGGAATTAAATAGAAATCATGAAGTCATCAGCAGAAAGCCATGGTATCTCTAAGCCTTCGATCATTGTCCATTTAACAGGTCAAATCTTTTATTGTTCATTTTTTGAAACTTAATGACAGGGCATTGGAATTAATATTTATTTAACTATGGTGAGGACAGAAAGTATATAACATCAAATGAGGATAGGAAGAGCTCTGATGTCATCACCAGATTTTATTGCAGATCTAGATCTTATGTCCCTCTAGTGAAGTTTATACAACAGTCTCAGAAATGTCATGTTTGTGTTTCAATGAAATGTTAGTATATTAAGAGAAAATATAAATAAACATGTTCTCTATACAGGGTTTTATAATACATAAAACAACTTATTAACCAACTAATTGTTCCCCCTCTATACAGGGTGTTATAATATCTATTACAACCTATTAACCTACTAATTGTTCCCCCTCTATACAGGGTGTTATAATATCTATTACAACCTATTAACATGTGCCTGAGAAGACATGCTAAGTGAGATTTTGTTCCTCACTACTTCTTTTGTATAATACTTTGTTATCAATTAAACAGCACTGTTTCTTAAAACTTTTTATTCAAATTGATTGTTATGTTTTGAAGATTTCTTATGACCATTTATTTTGAAAAAAAGCAAGTGTAAGTAAAATATTGAGCTCTTTTTTAAATATATATAATGCTTGATTTTTTACAAGATCACAAATCAGCAAAATAAAATCATCAAGCAACCATGAAAATCTCAGAAAAACAGCAACTCTCACATTTTGTAAACAATATAAAGTATAACTTATAAACAAATAACATATAAAAAATATGCTTTTCCATTGAATGTATACAATTAAAGCTAGACACAACGATCTAAACTGTCACCTCATATAGTGCTGATACGTTTCAATAACTTTGTGTTATTTTTCTAAACAATTACTTTAAACATGAACATAGATGTGCCGCAAAAACCCTATATTATTAGTGGTGGCAGTATAACAAGGACTAGTGGTGGCCGTATAACAAGGACCAGTGGTGGCAGTATAACAAGGACAAATGGTGGCAGTATACCAAGGACCAATGGTGGCAGTATAACAAGGGCTAATGTTGGCAGTATAACAAGGACTAATGGTGGCAGTAAAACAAGGACTAATGGTGGCAGTATAACAAGGACAAATGGTGGCAGTATACCAAGGACCAATGGTGGCAGTATACCAAGGACCAGTGGTGGCAGAATAACAAGGACAAATGGTGGCAGTATAACAAGGGCCAATGGTGGCAGTATAACAAGGACCAGTGGTGGCAGGATACCAAGGACCAGTGGTGGCAGTATAACAAGGACCAATGGGGGCAGTACAACAAGGGCTAATGTTGGCAGTATAACAAGGACTAATGGTGGCAGTAAAACAAGGACTAATGGTGGCAGTATAACAAGGACAAATGGTGGCAGTATACCAAGGACCAATGGTGGCAGTATACCAAGGACCAGTGGTGGCAGAATAACAAGGACAAATGGTGGCAGTATAACAAGGGCCAATGGTGGCAGTATAACAAGGACCAGTGGTGGAAGTATAACAAGGACTAGTGGTGGCAGTATACCAAGGACCAATGGTGGCAGTATACCAAGGACCAATGGTGGCAGTATACCAAGGACCAATGGTGGCAGTATACCAAGGACCAGTGGTGGCAGAATAACAAGGACAAATGGTGGCAGTATAACAAGGGCCAATGGTGGCAGTATAACAAGGACCAGTGGTGGCAGGATAACAAGGACCAGTGGTGGCAGTATAACAAGGACTAGTGGTGGCAGTATACCAAGGACCAGTGGTGGCAGTATACCAAGGACCAATGGTGGCAGTATAACAAGGACCAATGGGGGCAGTACAACAAGGGCTAATGTTGGCAGTATAACAAGGACTAATGGGGGCAGTAAAACAAGGACTAATGGTGGCAGTATAACAAGGACAAATGGTGGCAGTATAACAAGGACAAATGGTGGCAGTATACCAAGGACCAATGGTGGCAGTATACCAAGGACCAATGGTGGCAGTATAACAAGGACAAATGGTGGCAGTATACCAAGGACCAATGGTGGCAGTATAACAAGGGCTAATGTTGGCAGTATAACAAGGACTAATGGGGGCAGTAAAACAAGGACTAATGGTGGCAGTATAACAAGGACAAATGGTGGCAGTATAACAAGGACAAATGGTGGCAGTATAACAAGGGCCAATGGTGGCAGTATAACAAGGACCAGTGGTGGAAGTATAACAAGGACTAGTGGTGGCAGTATACCAAGGACCAATGGTGGCAGTATAACAAGGAAAAATGGTGGCAGTATAACAAGGACAAATGGTGGCAGTATACCAAGGACCAATGGTGGCAGTATAACAAGGACCAGTGGTGGCAGTATACCAAGGACCAGTGGGGGCAGTATAACAAGGACCAATGGTGGCAGTATACCAAGGACTAGTGGTGGCAGTATAACAAGGACTAGTGGTGGCCGTATAACAAGGACCAGTGGTGGCAGTATAACAAGGACCAATGGGGGCAGTACAACAAGGGCTAATGTTGGCAGTATAACAAGGACTAATGGTGGCAGTAAAACAAGGACTAATGGTGGCAGTATAACAAGAACCAGTTGTGGCAGTATACCAAGGGATTATTGCACTGTATGCATTACCCCTGTAGCCACAACTCCTTTTAAGCTGGAACATATGAATTTATTAAACAGACTAAATACTGCTGTGGCAGCAAGAACTCAGAACTGGAGCAGATCAAGGATTTCAATATAAACACACAAGTTCCAAATGATAAAACCTAAACCAAGGTGGTAGTAGTACAAGTCAGTGGTCTGGTACAGGAAAAGTGGAATGGCTTTTGTGGCCTAAGTCTATCATAACATACAGGAATGTGAAAAGTAATTGATAAAAAAACCTATCTTCAAAATATAAAGTACAGTGATTTAATGCTTTGTGAAGCATGCAATACATTACAGCAATAGAAATGCTTGAAAAAGTACCATTACACCCCTGACAAACTCCGGGTATGTTATCTCCTATATAACTCACAGCCTTGTATGTTATCTCCTATATAACACACTCCCTTGTATGTTATCTCCTATATAACTCAGTGCCTTGTATGTTAGCTCCTATATAACACGCCTTGTATGTTATCTTCTATATAACTCACTACCTTGTATGTTATCTCCTAGATAACTCACTACCTTGTATGTTATCTCCTATATATCTCACTACCTTGTATGTTATCTCCTTTATAAACCCCTGCCTTGTATGTTATCTCCTATATAAACCACTACCTTGTATGTTATCTCCTTTATAAACCCCTGCCTTGTATGTTATCTCCTATATAACTGACTACCTTGTATGTTATCTCCTATATAAACCACTATCTTGTATGTTATCTCCTATATAACTCACCACCTTGTATGTTATCTCCTATATAACTCACTTCCTTGTATGTTATCTCCTATATAACTCACTGCCTTGTATGTTAGCTCCTATATAACACGCCTTGTATGTTATCTTCTATATAACTCACTACCTTGTATGTTATCTCCTTTATAAACCCCTGCCTTGTATGTTATCTCCTATATAAACCACTATATTGTATGTTATCTCCTATATAACTGACTACCTTGTATGTTATCTCCTATATATCTCACTACCTTGTATGTTATCTCCTTTATAAACCCCTGCCTTGTATGTTATCTCCTATATAAACCACTACCTTGTATGTTATCTCCTTTATAAACCACTTACCATTACACCCCTGACAAACTCCGGGGATGTTATCTCCTATATAACTCACAGCCTTGTATGTTATCTCCTATATAACACACAGCCTTGTATGTTATCTCCTATATAACACACTACCTTGTATGTTATCTCCTATATAAACCACTACCTTGTATGTTATCTCCTTTATAAACCACTGCCTTGTATGTTATCTCCTATATAACTCACTACCTTGTATGTTATCTCCTATATAACTCACTGCCTTGAATGTTATCTCCTATAGAAATTACTCAGTAGATATTTTACAGCTGTGGTTTTTCTCACTGTAGTATTACACACTGTTTTAACTGTTATGATAAATAGAAATATGTTGTCATTACTGTTCACTTGGCTACACATCACTACCTGTTACAGCCAGGTATAAACAGATGGCTACACATCACTACCTGTTACAGCCAGGTATAAACAGATGGCTACACATCAAATATTTAAATATTTTGCCTAAAACAGAAATATTCAACATTTGGCCTACATATAAAAGTACCTGATGATTGTAATGCCTTCCTTATGTAGTAACATACATATATTTGCATATGACAGTAAAACCTAATTCTATGTAATCTGGCCCCTCAGTAAAACCTATGTAATCTGGCCCCTTCATGAAATCTGTCTAATCCGACCCCTCAGTAAAACCTATGTTATCTGGCCCTTTCATGAAATCTGTCTAATCAGACCCCTCAGTAAAACCTGTGTAATCTGGCCCCTAAGTTAAATCTGTCTAATCAGACCCCTCAGTAAAACATGTTTAATCTGGCCCCTTAGTTAAATCTGTCTAATCCAACCCCCCATTAAAACCTGTGTAAACTGCCCCCTTAGTGAAATCTGTCTAACCCGACCCCTCAGTAAAACCTGTGTAATCTGGCTCCTTAGTGAATCTTTCTGACCATACCCCTCAGTAAAACCTGTGTAATCTGGCCCTTTAATGAAATTTGTCTAACCCAACCCCTCAGTAAATCCTGTGTAATCTGGCTCCTTAGTGAATCTTTCTGACCATACCCCTCAGTAAAACCTGTGTAATCTGGCCCCTTAATGAAATTTGTCTAACCCGACCCCTCAGTAAAAGCTGTGTAATCTGGCACATCAGTGGAGTTTTTCTAGTAAGACCCCTGAGTAGTATAACACCCTGTCTAATCCCTGCAATTTGTCAGATCCTACAGGGGTTGGATTAGACAACTTTCACTACGATTATATCAATGACTGAATCGGTGCATCACTGACCACAGGATCCTAATTTTATAAGAGATAACAACATTGTTGAAGATATGACGATTAAGCGTATCTTAGTTATTGAAGGACATTCGAGACATTTTCAAAGGAGGCCATCAAGCCTTGGTTTCTGAAACTCGAGCGGTTTTTTGGTAACTTAAGGAATGTTGAATATTCTGAGAAACTTCAGAAGCTGATAACTGATGATAACAACATCTGTTCAAGAATGAGGATGACAACAACATCTGTTGAAGGATGACATCTGTTGACATCTGTTGAAGGATGACATCTGTTGAAGGATGACATCTGTTGAAGGATGAGGATGACAATTACATCTGTTGAAGGATGACAACATCTGAAGGATGACAATAACATCTGAAGGATGACAACATCTGTTGGAGGATGATGACATCTGTTATGACAAACTGTATGGTGGAGATTCTAAAGTTGAGTGGTTACCATGAGCTACACTTGGCGTTGGGGCATTGCCTGGGTTGTTACCTTGAGTCTGGCACTGATTGGGGCACTGGTTTTATGAGCAAATCTAGTATTCATCCGGCTGTGAAGACAAATAAAACACATTTCAAGTAAACAACATCCAACTGTGGAGTATGATATCAACATATTTGAGAAACAACAAATTTAGAACTGTCAAAATCCAAGATTGCTGCCTGGCCGACATCTTGCTTTCCACTCAGTCTCAAAATAAAACATACACAACTAAGTATAAAGGGGAATCTACTTATAAAATTGGAGAAAGATCTGTCAGGGAATTCCTAAACAAGAGGCCCAGGGGCCTTCATAGCTCACCTGGTATTTTATTCTCAATTTAAAATCTGCTGAGTACTCTACCAGTTTATCAAAGGAGTACAAGAAATACAAACTGTAAGAAGGTCCCTAAATCAGTGTGGGTGGGTATAAGGTCCCTATATCAGTTTGGGTGGGTATAAGGTCCCTAAATCAGTGTGGGTGGGTATAAGGTCCCTAAATCAGTGTGGGTGGGTATAAGGTCCCTATATCAGTGTGGGTGGGTATAAGGTCCCTAAATCAGTGTGGGTGGGTATAAGGTCCCTAAATCAGTGTGGGTGGGTATAAGGTCCCTATATCAGTGTGGGTGGGTATAAGGTCCCTAAATCAGTGTGGGTGGGTATAAGGTCCCTAAATCAGTGTGGGTGGGTATAAGGTCCCTAAATCAGTGTGGGTGGGTATAAGGTCCCTATATCAGTGTGGGTGGGTATAAGGTCCCTAAATCAGTTTGGGTGGGTATAAGGTCCCTAAATCAGTGTGGGTGGGTATAAGGTCCCTAAATCAGTTTGGGTGGGTATAAGGTCCCTAAATCAGTGTGGGTGGGTATAAGGTCCTTAAATCAGTGTGGGTGGGTATAAGGTCCCTATATCAGTTTGGGTGGGTATAAGGTCCCTATATCAGTGTGGGTGGGTATAAGGTCCTTAAATCAGTTTGGGTGGGTATAAGGTCCCTATATCAGTGTGGGTGGGTATAAGGTCCCTAAATCAGTGTGGGTGGGTATAAGGTCCCTAAATCAGTTTGGGTATAAGGTCCTTAAATCAGTGTGGGTGGGTATAAGGTCCCTAAATCAGTGTGGGTGGGTATAAGACACCAAGAACAAACTTGGTCAAAATTCCATCCATTGGTTTAGAAGGAGAAGATTTTTGAAGATTCCCCTTTAAGGTTCTCTACCCTCTATTTGGCGGCCATCCTCTGAGAATTGCGAACCCTGTGGTCAAGGATGCTCCAGACCAAATCTGATCAAAATCCACTGAGCCGTTAAGGATAAGTAGTGTTTTAAACGACAACGATGCAGACGACAGAGGAACTATACTTGCCATGGCATGGCTAAAAATAGCAATTACAAACTTGAACTGAAAAGATCCAAGATGGCTACCTGGTGGCCATCATGTTTCTTCAATCAATCTCAAGTTAAAACATGCACAAATAAGGACCAAGGAAATTTTATATGAAATTTGAAAAGAATCTGTTCAGTACTTCTCTATTTCTTAATTGTTTCAAGATGAAACACGGACAAAGGGGCTGCCGATCTGAACAGTTTACCAACTGATAATGGTGGACTGCCGATCTGAACAGTTTACCAACTGATAATGGTGGGCTGCCGATCCAAACAGTTTACGTACTGATAATGGTAGGCTGCCTGCCGATCTGAACAGTTTACCAACTGATAATGGTGGGCTGCCGATCTGAACAGTTTACCAACTGATAATGGCGGGCTAATAAATAGTATGCTAACAAAAGTAGCACTACGATACATCTGTGGGTCTAATTAGAGTCTGTGGGTCTAATTAGAGTCTGTGGGTCTAATTTGAGTCTGTGGGTCTAATTTGAGTCTGTGGTTCTAATTAGAGTCTGTGGGTCTAATTTGAATCTGTGGGTCTAATTTGAGTCTGTGGGTCTAATTAGAGTCTGTGGGTCTAATTTGAGTCTGTGGGTCTAATTTGAGTCTGTGGGTCTTATTAGAGTCTGTGGGTCTAATTAGAGTATGTGGGTCTAATTAGAGTCTGTAGGTCTAATTAGAGTCTGTGGGTTTAATTTGAGTCTGTGGGTCTAATTAGAGTCTGTGGGTCTAATTTGAGTCAGGTATTGTAGAGAAGCAGCAGAAGCTTAACTCTAAGTCTGTGTTACAAACATGGATATCATTTTCTCTTACCCTGGACAGGTGTATCCGCACTTTAACCGGTGTGAGATTTCCTTGTCTCACCCTAGGGTCGAGACGGGGGGATTCCCCTATTCATAACAATGGCATGACGTCATTTCAACAATACAATGACGTCACGTCAACAATCCATCGACGTCACGTCAACCCTGAATTTAGCATGTAACGTTATCATTACATTGTGTATATGATACACATTAGGAGAACAGGGTAAGAGAAAAAGAATCATTCACCCCTTGTGGGTAAGATAGGGGAATCTCAACCCTCGGGGAAAGATTCTTAAGTTGCCAAACACTCGGCACAGCCTCGTGTTTGGCAACATAAGAATCTCCCCCCTCGGGTTGGGATTCCCCTATCTCACCCCCACGAGGGTGAGAGATTCTATTAATCCCTGACAATCTAGATCTTTTAGCTTCCACGACAACATACATTTACTGTTACTGATATGAAAATATTGGCACAATATAACCATTGTCATCAATGTCAGATTGTCTACACCGCAAACTTTGATCAGTCCACACTTTCAAACATAAAGCTGTCCACTTTTACAAAAGACATGATTTACCGGTATACAAGGGAAACATGCAAGGTTTATTTTCTGAATTCATACAAAAAAGAACTAAGTTCTGTCAGTTAAATACACTAAAACAATCATGCATCTTGTAAGAAATTTAATTTGAAGCAACATTGATCATACTCATACATTCGATTCAAATAAGGACTGTCATCCAGGGGCCAATTCATCCTTTTTGTCGGTCCGAGTGACCTTGCTGCATCGTCCATTAATTTTTCCTTGTGAACACAACAAGAGGCCCAATGGGCCTGCATCGCTCACCTGGTATAAATCTCACACTTGTAACATTATAAGTGATCTAAAATAAAGCTACAGGCAAAATATCAGTATTTATGATTAAAATTCATTCAAAAGAACCTGTTAAATATTTTTTTTAAACATTTCACCCCTGTGATTGAAAGTCGAACAATGTCATTATGTTGAACAAATTTTATAGCCTTTCATCTCAGGATGCAACTTGCTAAGTATCAACATCCTGGGACCCATGGTTATTCAGAAGAGGTCGTTTAAAGATTTTAAACAAATTTGACCCCTGTGACCTTGAATATAAGTCAAAGTTATTCACTTTAACAAAAATAGTAGTCCTTGATCCCAGCATGCTACTGACTAAATATCAACATCCTGAGCCTTTTGGTTATTCAGAACAAGTTGTTTAAATATTTTGAACTTATTTGCTCCTTGTGACCTTGAATATGATTCAATGTCATACATTTAAACAAACTTGGTAGCCCTTGATCCTAGTATGCTACTGACTAAATATCATCACCCTGGGCATTTTGGTTATTGAGAAGAAGTTGTTTCAAGTTTTTAACATATTTGACCCCTGTGACCTTGAATATAAGTGAAGGTGATTCATTTGAACAAATTTGATAGCCCTTAACCCCAGCATGCTACTGGCCAAATATCATCACCCTGTGCATTTTGGTTATTCATCAAAAGTTGTTTAAAGTTTTTCACATATTTGACCCCTGTGACCTTGAATATGGGTGAAGGTCATTCATTTGAACAAACTTGATAGCCCTTTACCCTAGCATCCTACTGACCAAATATCATCACCCTATGCATTTTGGTTATTCATCAGAAGTTGTTTAATGTTTTTAACAAATTTGACCCCTGTGACCTTGAATATAAGTGAAGGTCATTCATTTGAACAAATTTGATAGCCCTTTACCCCAGCATGCTACTGGCCAAATATCATCACCCTGGGCATTTTGGTTATTCATCAGAAGTTGTTTAAAGTTTTTAACATATCTGACCCCTGTGACCTTGAATATGGGTGAAGGTCATTCATTTGAACAAACTTGATAGCCCTTTACCCCAGCATGCTACTGGCAAAATATCATCACCCTGGGCATTTTGGTTATTCAGATGAAGTTGTTTAAAGTTTTTAACATATTTGACCCCTGTGACTTTGAATATGGGTGAAGGTCATTCATTTGAACAAACTTGATAGCCCTTTACCCCAGCATGCTACTGGCCAAATATCATCACCCTAGGCATTTTGGTTATTCAGAAGAAGTTGTTTAAAGTTTTTAACATATTTGACTCCTGTGACCTTGAATATGGGTGAAGGTCATTTATTTAAACAAACATTGTAGCCCTTTATCTCAGCATGCTACTGGCCAAATATCATCACCCTGGGCATTTTGGTTATTCAGAAGAAATTGTTTAAAGTTTTTTTAAGACAATTGACCCCTGTGACCTTGAATATAATTGAAGGTCATTCATTTGAACAAACTTTGTAGCCCTTCACCCAAGCATGCTACTGGCCAAATATCATCTCCCTGGGCAGTTTGGTTATCGAGAAGAAGATGTTTAAAGTTTTTAACATACTTGACCCCTGTGACCTTGAAAATGGGTGAAGGTCATTAATTTTAACAAACTTTGTAGCCCTTCATCGCAGTTTGCTTCTGACCAAATATCGACACCCTAGGCCTTTCGGTTATTAAGAAGAAGTTGTTTAAAGTAAAATATTGATGCCGGACGGACGACGGACGCCGCACCCCGGCATAAGCTCACTTTGCACTTCGTGCCAGGTGAGCCAATAACTTCAGTAAATATGAACCGATTTTGATGAAACTTTGTATGCAGCTTTGTATCAATGAGATCTTGGATGAGTTTGAATACCGGACCAATTTGACCATGACTTACATAGTAATTCCCCCTGGTAATTCTATTATTGTTAGACCCTGTGAACACTATAACTGAAATAAATGGGTGTGACTCCAATTTTGACCCAAGGGGTCTGTTTTGAACAAACTTGGTAACTGTAAGTCTTCTGTTCTTGGTTGAAAGAAACAAGTAAAAGCGTAAATCAATGATTTATTAAATAAGGCACAAAATTTTAATAGCACCTTGTTAGTAGCAAAACTAATCGTAGGGGGAAAGGTCATTAAGGATGATCTGCTGGAATCTATTACAGCCAGTCTTCATCAGTGGCTCCAAACAAATACGTCATTTATGGCAAATCAGATATATTTAACTTATAGAATTATCGTATATATCTGTTTGGTCATTGTGTACCTCTGACTACTTCCGCGCTCTATTGTTTCCTTTGTTTTGTGTAATAATAATAATAATATACAACATTTATGTAGCGCCCTATATAATTTGTAAAATTACTCTAAGGTGCTTTACAACATATGGATAATAGTAATGGTTATAATTGTGAAAACAAACAACAAAGGCTTGGAATCTCTTTCATACATTTAACAAGCAATGTGCACATAATTGAACAAATAAAAGGTTGGTATTTACATGACGTCTTTGCAAAGATTCTAAAATGCAGACGTGAAGAGGTGAGTTTTTATGTCCCTCTTGAACTTGGCCAGGGTATTTGACTTCCTAATAGCAGATGGTAAGCTATTCCACAACGTAGCCGAAACCCTCCCAAAGCATCTGTTTCCGTAGGTCACAGTACGAGATTTTGGGACACACAACAAAGATTCTGACTCCGACCGCAGAGATCTTGATGGCTGATACAGGGTAACAAGCTCCTGTAGGTACTGAGGAGCTGTTCCATTCAGTGCCTTGCATGTGTATACCAGAATTTTGTACTGTGACCTGTATCGTACAGGTAACCAGTGCAACAAATAAAGCACAGGAGTGATGTGCTCTCTCTTTCGTGTACTTGTTTAGTTTTCTTTGCTAGATTTATTTTTCACTGCAATGTCTGCGAACAAAAGATATATGCAAAAAAAAAAAATTAAACCAGATTCATCCCCCACAAAATCTATTTTTAACCTGAACGTTGACTTAGGAGAGTACTTGTTGACACATTCGCCCAGGTAACATATATCTGTGATGTATGATGAGATACACATGTATCTTCTGTGTATAGCCAGGTAACATATAGTGTCTGTGATGTGTGATGAGATACACATGTATCTTATGTGTATAGCCAGGTAACATATACTGTCTGTGATGTGTGATGAGATACACATGTATCTTCTGTGTATAGCCAAGTAAAACTGTGACAAAATTTAACAAAATATCGTCATAAACACAAAACTCACAACATAAACACATGCAGGAGGACAACCACGTTACGATGTTAGGATGTTAATTGAACCTCAGGAATCAGTTCGGCTGACAACATCTGCCATCTTTCAAATTTCTGGTCAGGATTCTTCAGCGTGTCAAACCAGTGTTTGAGCCGCTCCCCTTTTGAGTTGATCCCTAACTGGACTCCACCTGACGAATAAAAAAAGGAAACATTCTTAGACAAAATTAATTTTTGTAAAGTTGCTGTTTATTATTAATAATAATATTAACAAGAGGCCCAATGGGCCTGCATCGCTCACCTGGTATTAATCTCACACTTGTAATCTTAAAAGTGGACTAAATACAGCTACAGGCAGAATATCAGTGTTTGATTAATAAGAACCTATTAAAAGATTTAAACATATGACGCCTGTGACCTTGAATGTCGAACAAGGACATTAGGTTGAACAGAGTTTATAGTCTTCCAATCCAGCATGCTTCTGGCAAAATATTGTTACCCTGGACCTTTTGGTTATACAGAACAAATCATTTAAAGATTTAAACATGTATTGACCACTGTGACCTTGAATATGGGCTAAGGTCATTCACTTAGTAGTCCTTCATCCCAAAATATCATCACCTTATACCTCTCTGTTATTCAGAAGAAGTTTTTTTTTGTTCATTTGGGCAAAATCGGTTGTCCTTTATTCCAGCATGCTACTGGCTAAATATCATCATCATCCTAGGCATTTTGGTTATTCAGAAGAAGTTGTATTACAGGTTTTCAACATATTTGACCCCTGTGACCTTGAATATAAGTCAAGTTCATTCATTTGAACAAACTTGGTAGTCCTTCATCCTAGCATGCAACAGACCAAATATCAGTACCCTGGGCCTTTTGGTTATTGGGAAGAAGTTGTTTGAATATTTTAACATATTTGACCCCTGTGATCTTGAGAGTGGGTCAAGGTCATTAATTCGAACAAACTTGGTAGCCCTTCATCAAAGCATGCTACAGGCCCAATATCAGTACCCTGGGCCTTTTGGTTTTTGAGAAGAAGTTGTTTGAAGATTTTAAGACATTTGACCCCTGTGACCTTGAAAGTGGGTCAAGGTTATTCATTTGAACAAATTTGGTAGCCCTTTATCAAAGCATGCTACAGGCCCAATATCAGTACCCTGGGCCTTTTGGTTATTGTTTAAAGTAAAATATTGTCACCGGCCGCCGTGGCTATAGGGCCTTTGTAACCAGCCAATATCTTTCTCAACTCCCCGGGGAGCATTCAGCCAGTGCTGCCATTTCAATCATGTACTCATTTACAGCTGAGTAGACTGGAACAAGCGGAGTAAAGTATCTTGCTCAAAGATACAACACAGTGCAGTGCCGTAACTCGAACCCGCAACCCTTCGGTCACGAGCCCGGCGTCCTACCACTAGACTACCATGCCTCCCTAACAGAACTAGAATTTGCTGATATCTTGCTGTCTAACGACAAAACAAAGAAAACTGACAAATATAGACTCCTGATTAATGAAGAAGGATTTTAAAGAATTTGCTATAGTTCCCCTGTTGGGTCCCGCCCCTCAGCCCCCAGGGGGGCCAGACCCACCATTTATCCGAAATTTGTTCCCCTTTCCCTAAGGATGCTTCTGACCAAATTTAGTCAAAATCTGCTCAGTCGTTTATGACTAGTAACGATTTTTAGGAAAAGTTGACGGACACCATGCCATTGCATAAGCTCACTTGTCCTTTGGGCAGGTGAGCTAAAAACTGAGTGTGGAACTCTTCTTTGAGATAATAGTTGATGTAGGGGTAGCCTCTACCTAAGACAGACATGTATACCTTTGTAGTCATTAGCCACCTTAAGACAGACATGTATACCTATGTAGTTATCAGCCACCTTAAGACAGACATGTATACCTTTGTAGTCATTAGCCACCTTAAGACAGACATGTATACTTTTGTAGTCATTAGCCACCTTAAGACAGACATGTATACCTATGTATTCATTAGCCACCTTAAGACAGACATGTATACCTTTGTAGTCATTAGCCACCGTAAGACAGACATGTATACCTATGTAGTTATCAGCCACCTTAAGACAGACATGTATACCTATGTAGTCGTTAGCCACCTTAAGACAGACATGTATACCTATGTAGTCATTAGCCACCTTAAGACAGACATGTATACCTTTGTAGTCGTTAGCCACCTTAAGACAGACATGTATACCTATGAAGTCATTAGCCACCTTAAGACAGGCATTTATACCTATGAAGTCGTTAGCCTTGCCAATGTCTTTGTCCCACACTGTGATCTCCAGTGTCTTCTTCGCCAGCTCTGGAAGTTTGATCTCATACAGGAAATCCTGTAAATATCCAGAATGATAATTACAGCACCATATCAATTGATGGAAAAACAAACTCTCCATATAGCAATATGAACTAAGAGAAATAAAATGAAGATTTTAGAAATACATAGATTATATATAAAAGATTCTCTACAGCAATTACTGAAAGGAAATATAAAATCTACATTTCTTGAGATAACAGTACTTGATGGGACAAACATTTTCCAAGTAATCACTAATGCATCCTATAATTGTACATAGAATAACATTAATGACACACTGTGTTTTGTGTGTTTGACATATTGTTACCTCATTGTAGTCTGTGTTTTGTGTATTACCTCATTGTAGTCTGTGTTTTGTGTATTACCTAATTGTAGTCTGTGTTTTGTGTATTCCCTCATTGTCCTCTGTGTTTTGTGTATTACCTCATTGTTCTCTGTGTTTTTTGTATTACCTCATTGTACTCTGTGTTTTTTGTATTACCTTATTGTACTCTGTGTTTTGTGTATTACCTCATTGTCCTCTGTGTTCTGTGTATTACCTCATTGTAGTCTGTGTTTTGTGTATTAGCTCATTGTAGTCTGTGTTTTGTGTATTACCTCATTGTACTCTGTGTTTTGTGTATTACCTCATTGTACTCGGTGTTTTGTGTATTACCTCATTGTACTCTGTGTTCTGTGTATTACCTCATTGTACTCTGTGTTTTGTGTATTACCTCATTGTACTCTGTGTTTTGTGTATTACCTCATTGTACTCTGTGTTTTGTGTATTACCTCATTGTACTCTGTGTTTTGTGTATTACCTCATTGTACTCTGTGTTTTGTGTATTACCTCATTGTACTCTGTGTTTTGTGTATTACCTCATTGTACTCTGTGTTTTGTGTATTACCTCATTGTACTCTGTGTTTTGTGTATTACCTCATTGTACTCTGTGTTTTGTGTATTACCTCATTGTACTCTGTGTTTTGTGTATTACCTCATTGTACTCTGTGTTTTGTGTATTACCTCATTGTACTCTGTGTTTTGTGTATTACCTCATTGTACTCTGTGTTTTGTGTATTACCTCATTGTACTCTGTGTTTTGTGTATTACCTCATTGTACTCTGTGTTTTGTGTATTACCTCATTGTACTCTGTGTTTTGTGTATTACCTCATTGTACTCTGTGTTTTGTGTATTACCTCATTGTACTCTGTGTTTTGTGTATTACCTCATTGTACTCTGTGTTTTGTGTATTACCTCATTGTACTCTGTGTTTTGTGTATTACCTCATTGTAGTCTGGGTTTTGTGTATTATCTCATTGTAGTCTGTGTTTTGTGTATTACCTCATTGTACTCTGTGTTTTGTGTATTACCCCATTGTACTCTGTGTTTTGAGTATTACCTCATTGTACTCTGTGTTTTGTGTATTACCCCATTGTAGTCTGTGTTTTGTGTATTACCTCATTGTACTCTGTGTTTTGTGTATTACCTCATTGTAGTCTGTGTTTTGTGTATTACCTCATTGTACCCTGTGTTTTGTGTATTACCTCATTGTACCTTGTGTTTTGTGTATTACCTCATTGTACTCTGTGTTTTGTGTATTACCTCATTGTA